ACTGTGTTCCCGACCTTCATGGGGACGAACGTAGTCTTGGGCTGGATTAAGGACAAGGTGGGAGATAGCTCTGGCTGCTGTGACAGAATGTTCTTGAGCATCTTCCTATCAGGACTGTTCCTTCCCAATCTCTGCTTTTCCTCCTCCTCGTGGGAACACTTGGGTTTAATCCTCTCTTCACTCTCCCTCTATTGATGTCCATGATGTACCCTCCTCCCTCCTGTGGCCACCCCAAACTCTTTTCAACAGACTGGGTCCTTGCTCCCCCAGGCCTCTCCTAGAGTTGCTTCTATAGCAACTCTCCTAGGAAGATGAGCCCTCCCCAGAGCCCCACAAGCTCCGCCCACCCTGCCCAGGTGTGGGGGCGGGGCATCCTTTTCTCCATATCACTCATTGGTCCACAGAAGCTAGAGCTGCTGGCACTAGACGGTCATTGTTTCTCTCTGGTCTTGCAACAAACCTGGCTCACAGGTAGAGAGGCCACAAAGTCCTAAGGGGAGCAGCTGAGACTAGATCCCAGGCTGCTGAATACTGACCTCTTCACCATAGGGCCACTCTGCCTGTCCTTTGCTGGCAGTCTATCCTCCCAGGCTTTGTGATTACAGAGGACAGTTTGTGGGGGGCTAACTCCTACCTTAACACTGTAATGAGGAAAGACCCCTCATTTTCAGGACTTTATTGGAATTCTACCTGCTAGTAGATTTCCCACTAGTAGGCACTCTGTGGGGTATTGGGAACCTGCCCCTTCTGCCCACCCCTACTCCTCTACACCACAGAGAGTATGAACCACTCAGCTCCCACAAGTCCTCTGAGGGAGAGTTGCCTGGAAGGAGCTGTCATCTACCTTCTAGAAGCAGGCCTTAAGGTACCTACCAGCCAAGGACTTGGTGGGGTGGCCGGTGATCCTCCTGTGGCTGGTAGACCCTGCTTGATTGCAGAGTGGCCTCAGTGAGGGAGGATGAAGCTTGCCTGGCCATGGGTGGACTCTGGGGTCCCCACCCAAATGCTTTCAGGGTTAACACTGATGTTCTTCTCTCACAGTGGGAGTCCCATGTCTGCTTTTTCTCTTGCTCCATAGAAAGGATGCCTGGCACCTCTCCATCCATCCCTGGGGGCCACACAGATGCCGAGTTCTGCATGTCACAGTCTCCACGGGTCTTCTTACATGTTGCCCTATTCCCGCCTCACTGGATCTTTACATTAGTGACCTCTGCTATCCTGCCATTGAAATACCTGACAACTCAGGAGAAGAAAGATTTATTTGGGGTCCTGGTGTCAGAGGGATGGCAGTCCATCACAGTGAGGAAGGCAGGGTGGAGTTCTTGGTGGCTGGAGGGTGTGGTAGAAACAGCTTACGTCACGGCAGACCAGGAAGCACAAAGAAGGGAAGCAGGGGCGGGTAGAGCCTTAGCAGGTTGACCCCAGGAACTCCTCTGGCTTGACCCACCTCCTAGGTGTTCCACAGCCTCCCAAAACAATGCCGAACAGCTAGCTAGCAAACAAGCATAGCCCGTGGGGGGCTCTTAGAGCCAAATCACATCAATCCTGATAAGAATGCATTCCTAAAATGCCCCCCAAGTCCCCAGAGGCTCCCCATCAGCAAGCGCCTACCCAAGTCAGCCCTCTGCCCTCTGCAGGCCCATCACGCTCTCTCTCATCATCTCACCCTCATCATCTCACCCAGCGCGACACTCCCCAAACATGAGTCTTCTAGACACAAGCTACCTAGAGCTTTTCCCTGCTTTTTTCTACTGTACTTTGCAGACGCTACCTCCCCATTCTCCAAGCGCCTCCTCCACCAGAAAGCTCCCCTTGACCACCACCCCACAGCTGGAAGTTACTTCCTCAGACAGGCTCAGATCCTGGGGTAGAGGACAAGCAGGTAGATAAACCTTTCTGGAAACTACTTGCATCATATATTCAGAGCCTTAGAAATACACAGCCTTCCATGTCTAGGCAGCGACCCCATTAAAAAAAAAAATCATTCAGCCGGGCAATGGTGCTGCACGCCTTTAATCCCAGCACTCCAGGAGGCAGAGGCAGGTGGATCTCTGTGAGTTCAAGGCCAGCCTGGTCTACAGAGTGAGATCCAGGACAGGTACCAAAACTACACAGAGAAACCCTGTCTTGAAAAACCAATAAACAAACAAACAAACAAAAATTTAAAAATAATAAAAAATTTCATTCTAAGAAGCAATTGCAGATATGCTCAAAGGTTTGGTTGCGGTCAGGCTGCACAACCATGATACTAAGGGTAACGGCTGTGCCAGATTTCTTCAGTTGTGACTTGGTGATAAAAATAGCAGCTTGGGTTCTGGGGAGATGGCTCGGTGCATGAGGCAAAGGGCACCCAGCCTGGTCTAATCAGCAAGCTTCAGGCCAACCAATGACAGACCTTGTTAAAAAAAAAAATCAAGGACTCATGAGGAATGAAGTTGACCTCTAGCCTTCGCATGTATGTATGTTCAAGTGCACCTACACGAACACACACACACACACACACACACACACACACACACACACACAACAGCACCTCATGGCTACTGTAAGGATGAGTCAAGGGTTAACGTGTGTAAAGCACGTGACCCACAGAACACATACACAGACACTAGCACCTCATCTATGGAAGTGAGGCATTAACACATGCAAGGCACTTCACAGGCGCCTGGTATGCCTGCCCTCTCCGTGGAAGTGTCCCCTGCCACTGTGTTTGAATGAGGTCTCAATGAGGCCAACATGCGGGCTGCTGGCTCTGCCACCACCCTGCTTCCCGATGTCCATCCTCACCACGTCCAAGCCAGAGGTGACCAATTGTAAAGACGGCACCAATATCTCCCGGGATCTATGTATTCCATACATTGCTACTGTATGAGAACTACAGATCCCACATGCTACCATCCCCCACACTGTGCGACCACTGGACAACGCTGGAGAGGAGAACTAATGTCTCACAGCCAGGGGGCGAGGCTAAATTCACTGTAAAGTACACAGACGTGCAGAAAAACAAACCAAAAAAACCCTGTGAAATGCGGGCTTGCCTTCTCCAGCTTATGAAGTTACAAAGTGATTTTCTTTTATCTTTTTAATCTCTTACAAAGAACACACACTCCTTTTGAGGTAAGGAGGCAGAAAAAAAAAAAAACCAATGAATTTTGCAGAAGAAAAAGCAAGCCACCTTGGTTTGCTTCCATTTGGAGTGGAAGAGATTGTGTCTCCCTTTTGTCTGTCCACCACTGCGTCTGGACATGAAAGCCCAATCGTGAACGGAGGGAGCTCCGGCCAGGCGGTCTTGTGGCATCTGCCAGGCCAAGGCATTCAGTATACCGTGTAGAAGAGGCCAGCCAGCAAGGGAAAAAACAGGGGTTGGGGAACATTTGTTCACAACTTTGTCAGTGGGTGACCCGTTGGCCAGGCTGGCAGATGTCAGAGTGACCTTATAAGGGGAGAAGGGCAGTGGGGATCCTGGGCTCCAGCCACAGGTGTGCCGTAGGTCAATTACCTGGGGAGCATGTGGTAGGGCGGCCAAGGGCCAGCTGAGCATCAGCGCTAGGCCACTTTGGCACCTGAGAGCTGTCTTCTGCTTAACCGTCTGAGGGGGGTTTAAGTGCAGTTAGATCTTAATATGATTAGCCCCTCAATTTTCATTCTGGCCATTCTCTGGAAAACCTCCCCACCCCCCACCTCGATGACTCCACCAGCAGCACACGCTGAGTCAGGGGACACCAGGGAATGGGCCAGGTCAGAGGGCCATGGATCAGTCAGAAAAGGACCGCCCACCCAACGCAAGGGCCAAGGCTAGGGTTAGGAGGGCATGTGAAATGTACTTAAGAGAATGTATTACTAAACATGCTACTATTAGGCATGGAACATGTCTGATGTCAAGGCCCTTTCAAGACCCCTAAGAGGAGACTGTGTGTGTGTCCATCTCATAACTGAGGAGACTGAGGCATGAAGGTCAATTAGCTAGCTGCTCCTAGGAAACTCTGGAAGGGCTGAGCTGGAACACAAGCTCAGGCTGGTGTGAGTCGGGCTCTCTCCCTCACTCCTCACAAGAGCTCTGCAGCGGTTGGTTCTATCAAGATGTGGATGTTGGAGTGGGGCTGGGGTATCAAGTTGCTCCCTAATTCTGTCCTTGCAGGCTGCACTGTGGCTGAGAGACATGTTACCTTGCAAGGTGAAATGGAGTCACCTTGTTGCTGCAGTGTGCAGACCATCAGCACCAATCCTTGCTGGGCTGCCTCATAGGCTGAGCCCCGTGGGAGCTGTGGCGGGTGCCTTCACTAGGTTACTGGGAGTGGCGGATGAAACCCACCACATCCTGTGCTGCCTCATTCCCTGGGTGGCTTTGGAGATGGTGTGCTTTATGAATCAGTCTTCAATCTACTCCGTGGGGACAGTAGTCTCTAACCTATACTGGCAAGATGGGCACCACCAGGGGAATGCATACACAAGGCTCACTTCCCAGCAGCCTCTGTGGCTTGGAGTTTCTCCGTCCCTCTCCCTGACAGTGAACGCAGGCTGAAGGCTAAGGTTCTGGGGGGTGGGGGAAACTGAAGGCCAAGAGGCAGCACCCCATGAGGCTCCTAAGGGAGCCCCTAGCCTCTGTGAGGCTCTGCTCCTCTCCAGTCTTGCCTGGGTGGTCCTGTGGTAGGAATATCCCTGGGTCGAGTTTGCGGAGCCCTAGGATCCTCTCCACAAACCATCCCACGGTCACTCCTCAGGCAGGGAGAATACAACCTTCTTCTCGGAAGGGCTCCGGCAGGGGCTTTTCTTCCGGCAGGCACAAGTGTGAAGCTGGTGGTGAGGCTGGCGCCGGATGAAACCCGGGAAAGGTGGAGCACCTCCCCGCCGCAGTCTCTGGGAAGGGCGAGGTATTGCGTGCTCGGGTTGGGGACCCTGGCGGGCGGCGAGCTAGTCACCGCACGCCCACGGCCTTCCTGCGGTGGGAGGCTAATTGCATCCCCGGTCACGCGGCCCTCCAGCGCTCGCGTGGCCCACCGCTTCCTCCTGCCTGCGCCCAGAGTCTTCACAGCATGCCGATGGCAAGGACCAGTGACCCCGGGAGCTCGGCTGTCACCTCCCTCTGCCATTGCAGCACCTCACTTTCCCAGGGCAGTTACAAGGAATGAACAGCTCATGGGATTGCTTTTCCTCGAGTCTGATGGAACGTGCCAGCTGCACACTCACTCTCGGGGCTCCCTTCCCGCTTCAGACCACAGGATTTGTCTACAGATCCAAACCAATGGGTCGGACTGAGGACCAAAGCCCTGCTTGAACAGTGACAAATCCATACTCCTAGAGGACACATGAGAACGGGACTGTCCCTACGCCGAGTGACATCATCATTCCCCTGTGGGGGAGAGACAGCACAAAAGCCATCCTTGTAATGATGCCACACACAGGCACACGCACATTCTGCAAGCTCACAGGGGGCTGACTGGAGAAGTCTGGCTTCTGGTGTGCTGGCTACAAGTGCTGCCTGCCTTACCGGCTTCCTAGTTGGGTTCTCTCAAACTGCCCAACCCCCAAATTATACAAGAACAGCCTAGCCCAACCCTGGGTTCTGATCCCAGGCAGGGAAATGCGTTTGTAACAGCCCAGGCGTGGGACTACTAACCCAGCTGGGGCAGCACAATTAGCGTTCTGCCCTGATAAACATCAGAGTCATTTGCCTACCAGATCCAGGGCTATTATCTAATAATGGGTTCTAGTAGCTCAAATCTGACGGGCGTGTGTGTGTGTGTGTGTGTGTGTGTGTGTGTGTGTGTGTGTGTGTGTGTTTCAGAAGAGAAAATGGGAACCTAGGGGAAAAGGGCAGTTGTGAACTAGTCCTTTGGTGGGAGCTTGTGGGTGGAATCATGTATAAGGATTTAAACAAACAGAATGCATCACTATGGAAACAACCGGTTTTTTTTTCAAAGGAACCGTTAAAAAATAAAGTAATCAAGACTTCAGATTCAACACTCCAAGTGTTTATGACCAGAAAAGGCAAAGTGGGTCTTAGATACTCTGCCGCCAAGAAAAAGCTGCCAGAACTCAAGGAAGAAATATTCCCAGCAGAGCAGGAACCCATCATCTGTCAGGCTTTCCCCTGAAGCCCTCACAGGCCAGCATTCTGCTCACTGCAGGCCGACTTAACTCTTTCAGGGTTGCTGTGACATGGCTCAGCAGCCTGGGCGCTTTCCCGATGGGATCCAGACAGACCTGCTGTGCACCAGAGCTGAGCCAAGGCAGCCGAGGTAGCAAAAAGGGAGTCTAAGGGACATTCCTGGATGAGCTGTGACCCAAATGTGCTAGAGACCACCAGCTGGGCTAGTGGACCTGGACCAGAGCAGACTCCCATTTCTGCACCGTGTCACACTGTTCGCTCGCGTGCCTGGAGGCTCGTTCCATTTCTGGGGTAAAGCCCGGCGCACCCGTCTGCTGACTGGAGCGGTGATGCTGTTACGACGCCTCACACTTAGTTTGGACATCACCAGGGTTCCCGCATGTCCTCAAAGATGACAGGACAAACAGTAGGGGAAAATTCACCCATCTGTGAAAGTTCTGAGGCACATCTGCTTAGATACGGTTAGGAGCCACTTGCTAGGGACGTTGCCCAAGCCTGTTTCTAAATTCACCGCACCCAACCCCCGCCAAAATGAGTTTCCCCAGTTTAATGGCACTGTGAGTTTAGTGAGCCACAGCTTCTGACAAGATGCTGGTGTTAGCTAAGGAGAAATGTGATGCAGGCATCTGCCCTGATGCACAAAGCAATCAGGGGACATAAAGGCCGCCTGCAGCTGGCTCTGGTCAGCTCCGCTGGAGCGAGGGCCTCAGAGGATTCCACCTCAGTTCAGCATGGAGGAGAAAGGGGAAACCAGCTTTGGAATTAGCCTTTGAAATTTGTCTCTGCCGGCACAAGTGCTGCTAAAATACTTCTTAGGGACTCAGCTTCTTGTCTCCACAGCAAAATCAGTCTGAGGAAGAAGAGACGGCAACTAGAAACTCGTAGGACGGCCTGCAGGCAACCAAAGCTCACAGAGGGCAACTAAAACGAAACCTGCGTCTCATGCTCAGCTGCATACTGGCTGTCTGGCGTGCTTTGTGCCAGCAAACAGCTTTGTCTCAGTTCCTGGGAGCTGCAAATGGCTGGTGTGGTGAGTGCACATCAACATTCCTATCCACACCAGAACTCTCTAGTTCTGGTCTATGGCAAGAACCTGCTTGACACTTCAGAAGGCATGGGTCCTAATGGTGGAAATAGCGGGTACTGGTCACACATGGGAGTCTCCGGGAAGGGCAAGAAGCAGCAGCGGTGACTTGTGCTCTTTGCCCAGGAAACCCAGGTGGAGCCCCGGCCTGTGTGGTCAGACAGGGCTGGGTCGAGTGCAGAGAGTGAAGGGTGCCCTAAAGCAGGAAGAGAGAAGCCCCAGCAGTGAGGATGGGGTGCTGGAAGACCTGGAGCCGCCGGCCAGTCTTTTTATTTATAAGGAAGCGGGGAGGAATTCCAGCATCAGTCATCAAGCTCCTAATCCAAGCTGACCATACCAGGTTTTCTTGGCTTGAACTGGTCAACAGCTGGGAATTAAACAGAGGGCTTATGCTCCTGGTGATTCATACCTTCTTCCTAGGAAGGCTTAGTACGATGCTCAAATTCTAATACAGTATTTAGAATTTCTTACAAATGGATCTATATACATTAAAAAAAAACAGACTCTGATACAAGGAACCAGGGAGCTTGTGGGAGCAGAGTCTGGCCAGGGTAGTTCTATCTGAGCCCTGAGTAAGCTTGCCCAGCCTCTGGCACCCTTCCATGTCATGGGGATCATCCATGGAATGGAGACAGGATAATAACCAAGACAGGAAATTTTCCTCCCAGGACGAGAAAGAGAAACTCTAACCGGTGTCCTACTTTCATCCATTAACGCTCACTCTTCCTCTGGGTTTGAGTTAATCGGGTACATTGCTCCTGAGCCAAGGTCAAGGAGTCATGTGTTTTTATGATGCAACAAGGGGCAGCTACCCCATTCTGTTTTGGAAACCTTGGTGACATCACAGCTAACCCCTGATCTTGGACACCCAGTAAAAGGGAACACTGAGTCAGAAGAGCCTTAGTCACAGGCTTCTGAAATCTAAGGTAGAAGAGCCATGAGGTCATCCAGACTATTCCCTGCAGGGCTGATCTGATTCTCTCTGGCTTGGGTTTAAATGACTCAAGGAATTCTCTAGAGGAAGCTAATCTATTGGAACAGCTGTTACCAACAGGGCATTTGCTGTTCTTCAACCAAAATTTCAGCCTGCTTTCCTGACATCCAGTTATTTCTTGCTTCCAGGAGACAGCACTGTCTTCCCAGGTAGGACTGCCTGGGGTGGAGACAGGAGCACGCCGCCTTCTCTCTATTCAGAGGCCTGTAGCCCCAGTGTGCCCCAGGAAGACTGACAGCTGGGAGGTTCAGCTGAATAAACAGTGTCCCTGAACATGCAGCTTTCCATTACAATAACACACAAACCAAGATGTTAAGGAGTCAAGGAAGACTTCAACAAAGCCCAAAGAAGCCACCTCTGTTTGGGTTTCAGCAGCTGTCTGCCTGTGGAAGGCTCCAGAGTCACTGACATGTATTTATATCTCCATTTTGCTAACGTCATAAGGAACAAACATGTTCAGATCTTCCTCAGAGGCACAAGGCCATTTGTATTTCTTCAAATTAAAGGGGGGAGGGCAGGAGGAAAAGAGCTGATGGACCGAATCATCTGTGAGCACAGTCATAGCAGTGTTTAATTTGCCTAATGATAACCCTTGATTTAGAGATTTGTCTCGAAGTAGACATGCTGGCAACAGGAAGCGCTGGTGGCTCTCCTTCAGAAGGACAAGGACCTGCCTGTGAGGCAAACACCACAGTCTCCCAACAGCCACAGGACGACGAGAGTGCAGAGCTGTTTCTGAAAGTGCTTCCAGGAGCGGGGGAGGGGGTGCACAGCCCCCACCTCAGTGGCTGGCAACTTTGCAGACGTTGCCCATCACCAGGCTGCTCCTCTGGGCTCTGGATAAATGGTCCGAAAGGTTAGGTTTACTCTCCGTTCTCTGGAATGGTATTCCTTGGGCACTCGGTGCTAAATGGAAATATTAATAGTTGTCCGGCATAAATATACATGCATTTTTTAGTTCACTGTGATTTACGACTTACGTCTGAAGCTATGGAAACAGTCCCATTTTATCCCTAAGTGAGCAGCACTAGGTGTTCTACAGTCCTGTAGAAAAAGGTCTCCTCCTCTGAAACAAAACTCCCTGACCCCAGTAGGCTGTGGCATTGCCCTGGCAGTGCCCTGGCAGCGAGGCACCTTACCTTTTCTAGCTGTTGCTTCTACTCTGGATGTCTGCATCTAACGTGACCACACCCACAGTGACCTAGAAGAGCTGTGGGGTTGTGAGGCCCAAGATGGCAGCCACTGAGATCTTCACAAGTAAATTAGTGTGAGTCATGGCTGAAGTGGTCGGTGGGCACAGTGGCTAGCGGCTGCCATGGCCGCACAGACATGGACCCCTCCATCACTACAGAAACTTCAACCAGAAGCCTCTGCTGAGAGGGCCGTTTTGACTGACTCGGGGTGTGACATCACTTTATTGCTGCTCGCTCAGTATAAGCATTGCTCCCCTCCATCTGCGCACTTTGAAAGGACTACTCCTCAGCCCGGGCAGAAGCCGTCTCCAGAGAGTCAACTGCTGGTACTTTCCAGTCCTCACCTGCCAGTCAGCTTGCGTGGCTCCTTCCATGATTAGCAAGGTCCCGTGATCAAGTGGTATCTTCACTCTTTCCACGTACGTATAGTCTCCATTCTCTTCCTAGAAGACAGTAGCCATCCTGCTGAAGCTTTTGTTCATATGGCCAAGCAGTAAGAGAGCCTGCAGGCTGTGACTCCTCGGCCAGGCTGGGGGCGCTTGCATAATGCGCTCTCCCTTGGCGGCTTCTTGGCCTAAAGCCAGCTGTTTCCCCTCTCTATTCCTCAATACACTTACTTGTGACATGGGGAGAAAGATAAAGTAGTATCTGCTACAAAGGGCCAATCTGTGCCTCAAATGATGTGTGTAAATGACTTGGGGACCAGCAACAGGAAGAACTGTCTAAGACTTAGTTGTGGTCACTGTTCTTTAGAGAAGTCCACCCTGACCTAAGAGGGAGGTTAAGATTCACCTACCTCTGCTATCCAGTGCTATGGTCCAACATAATGGGAGGAAAATGGCCTTTGACCACGGCATGGTAATTGCTTTAAAACAATGTTTCTCAACTTTCCTCATGCTGTGACCCTCATGTTGTGGTGACCCCCAACCATAAAATTATTTTTGTTGTTATTTCTTAACTGTCATTTTGCTACTGTTATGAATAATAAAATAAGTATCCGTGTTTTCTGATGGTCTTAGGCGACCCCTATGAAAGGGTCATTTGACTCCCAAAGGGTCATGACCCACAGGTGGAGAGCTTTAGAACTAATCCCAGCTCTCCCCTTGGCTGCTCTAGGTGTTTGGGAGATGTATTCCTGCTCGTTCCAAACAGGAATTCTCTCAATAGCAGGAATTTCTCAAAGCTTTCTTTGAGCTCTGGCTTGACTAGATCAGTGTTGTCAAGGAAGCCTGGCTGTTTGATGGTGGTGCTTTTGAGAATGGATCAAGAATCCCCAACATCGGGAGCATGCTGGCTAGCTCTCAGCTTCAGTGCCTGGCAGTCCCCACAGCACACTACAAAGAAGTCAACAGGTGGTTTGCTCCCCTTCAAAGCTGCTGCTACAGGGAACAGCCTCTTGGCTTCCTGGCTCAGCCACAAAGAGCTCCCTGGGTGAGAATGGGACAGACCTGAGCTTCCCGATTTCTTCTCTTCCACTGTGGGCAGAGACAATGGGCCCATCCGTTCATCTGCCCCTTCCCATGCAACGGTTACCTTTGGGTTACTGCTGGATTTACTGTAGTGCAAGTCTGTTTATGTTTATTACTGCAGGGGTCTTTCTGAGAACCTAACTGTTTACAATGATTTCCCCAGGAAAATCTAAAATCAAAACAATACTGAACTTGTATAAACAGTCTACGTTCCAGGGCCTAACCCTTGGCAGGGGCTTTGTCAAGGACAGCCAGAATTTTTACAGACAGAAGACATAAGCAATGTTTGAAACAGCTTTTGATTGGTTGGCTGGTTTTGTTTTGTGTCTGTCACCTTTTCTCTTCCAGGAATAAGTAAGCAGCAAACCCTGACCTCTAGCTGCTCGGCCGACCGGAGAGCACGCTGGGAAGTGACCCTGGAGGGTCATGAGGGCCCATGCTCACCCCCACCTACCTGCACTTCAGAAGGCAAAAGTTGGTGCTTGGAAAAAGTATGCCAGGCCTCTGATGAATGCCTTGCTAGAAGAAAGACCGCAAAAGAGCGTGTCCATCCTCCATGCCATCAGAGGGCTATCAAAGCTTGACACAGACTGAAAGGCAGGTCGGCTCAAGTTAAAACCTGGCTGGAGGCAGAAGGAGCTCTCCTACTCTCTCCAGAATCATGGAGGACAACACAAGTCTGTAAATTGTACAGACACTCTGATGAGAGTGAAATGATGCTCAGAGGAAAGTCTCCACTACAACACAAAGGCAATTTTGAGATCCTTTAGAACATCCATGACAGTGTGGGGAGGTAGAGGTGCTGAAAGCGGGGGTGGGGGGTGGATGAGGTGGGGGGTGGGGGTGAGCGCTATCATTCCATCTGGAACCATGAAGCAGGAATGCCTCTGAGGGGCAAAAGAGAATTCCACATGCAAGAGGCTAGTGTCAGCATTGACAGAAACGAAGTTTAACAGATGCACTCTCCACTTGATACTCTTCTCAATTTTTCAAGTGGAAGAAAATTTCAGGCATAGTTTGAACACATAATAGTCAGCACAGCCACTAGCCACACCAAAAGGCAGACCCTCGAGTTCATGTGGTCCCTAGCGGGAGAGAGTATTAGTATTGCTCACTTCAGCATGTGGTATGAGGGGTGATTATTGTTTCTTCCCTGCTTGTAATCTATTTCTCCTAACACCAGTGACTTAGAAAACGCATTCCTGATTGCAGGAGATGGACAGTAATGAAGGCAAATGTGGTGGTTTGAAAGAAAACGGCCCCTAAAGGGAGAGGCACTATTAGAGGGCATGGCCTTGCCAGAGGAAGTGTGTCACTGTAGGGGTGGGCTTTGAGGTCTCTTCTGCTCAAGCTTCCCTCAGTGTGACTGTCAATCAACTTCCTGTTGCCTGCAAGATGTAGCACTCTCAGCCCCGGCACCATGCCTGCCTGCATGCCTCCAGGCTTCCCATCATGATGATAATGGACTGAACCTCTGAAGCTGTAAAGGAGCCACCCCACTTAAATGTTTTCTTGATAAGAGTTGTCAGGGTCATGGTATCTGTTCACAGCGATAGAGAATCCTAAATAAGACAGCAAGGGAGCCCCCCAATGGCAGAGCTCCTCAGTGGCTCTCAAGGCAGAACAACTCGGGGGAAGCAGATGAAGGCCAGGGGAAACTCATGCTATGTGCAAAGACTGGGTGATGTGGGGAGCAGGGGCCACAATGTCAGAGAAGCTCATTCATGGTTACCAGTGGGTACACTACCTCTGTGATCATCTGCTGTACTCAGGCAAGGCAACACACACACACACACACACACACACACACACACACACACACACACACACACAGAGCTTAAGATAAAAATGTCTATCCCTGCTATCAGCTAAAATAAGCTTCTAGGCTAACAGTCAACCTCTGAGGAGTGAGTGATGATTGTAGATGTTCTAGAATTTTCCACATATTGAAATCTGGAAGAAAAAAAGAAGCCACAAATGGCTTATTTTTCTATCTGTGCTGAAGAGAACCCTCATTCTCCAAGTATGGCAGTCCATCTGGACGCTTAGGTACTCTTTTCTGAATGCTGGGGCTCTGCACACTCTTGCCTCAAGCCCACCAAGGTATTGCTGTATTTAGTTTCCATAGAAAGATGGTACTTGGGGGAAATCCTGGGTGTATTTATGTCACTATTGACCACTACAGACAGGAAACTAGGCAATTTCCTTCCCATTAAAAAGGTAATGCATATTATGAAATTTGAATTTTTCAGGTAATCACTTCTTTCTTGTCCTAAAAGGGTGTTAGAAGTTTCAGCCATCATTACTTCAAAACCTTCCTATTTTCTTTCTAGAACCCATCATAATTCGTGTTAGGGATACAGTTCTAACTCTCGGTGTCAGCTTTGCCGCTCAGTCGGGGGAAGGGCTGTAGGTTGCTGCTCGTCAGAAGCACTCGTGACTAGGGCACATCAGCAGACAGATGCTAAGCGACTGAGGAAAGTTCCAGTAATACACAGAAGCCCCCTCTCCCTCCCTTCCAGAGTTCACATGCAGTATTCCATCTACATGATCATTTCCATTTTTAATGTATGAACTGTCTTTAAATATATAACAATTCAAAAATATTGTAATGTAATATTGCTTTGTGGGGCTGGAGAGATGGCTTAATGGTTAAGAGCATTAGCTGCTCTTCCACAGGTCCTGAGTTCAATTCCCAGCAACCACATGGTGGCTCACAACCATCCATAATGAGATCTGGTGCCCTCTTCTGGCCTTCAGGCATACACACAGGCAGAACACTGTACATATAATAAATAAATCTTTAAAAGAATATTGCTTTGCACAAGCATATTCTTTTTTCTTTAAGCTCGCAGATACGTTTGACTAGTTTGACTACCTGTGTGTCAGGCATTGTACCAGTGCTGAGGTACAGTGAAGAGTAAGTACATTGTGAGGCTGAGATTTTAATACACCAGTGCCACTGATTTGCTGCTGGTGTTGTTTTTAAAGGAATAAGAAAAGGTTACTGCAAGAAGACTTGAGGTCTTCTTACTAAACATATATATCTTGGATAGAGTATAAAGATGGAACTCCTGGGCAAGGGTATGACCTTTAAGGTGCTTGATTATAGTGCCAAACTGCTTCCTCACAAAGCTTCCGGCAATTGGTACTTCCATGAGGAAAACATGGCAGTACTGATCCGGCTGAACACTAGCCATTGCTGGTGGTGGGAAATGGAAGGACAATACACATAACCCACCCAGTTCCACGATTCCCCACGTGCACATCTGCTGCTGTTTGTCCTCCACTGGAATCTCTGTGTCC